CATGTACCATATGTATAAATATCGAATGGTTTTCTTTGAACATCCTGTGGTAGAAGACGTTATTACTGTGTAAACGTAGCTGATTTGAGGACAGTTCGTATGTACCAAGGTAATTAGAACATCGCGTTTCGACGGCAAGTTGTCGAGTAGAGGATTTGGAGCAGCTTTTGCTTACCGTCCAAGAACGGAACCCAATCGTAGCTCTCGCCCTTGTAGCTCCTCCCGTTGTACTTGGCACATTGTTCGGCCCGCAAATCCTCCGGGAAGTTTGGACATTTCTGTTTCAAGTAAGAGCTTAATTAAACTCCAGGTAATTAAGGATCGATCGCTGAAACGTTGTTACGCTGCCAAGCGGCTCCCACTTCAGTCTTTCCCGAAGTCAATTAAAATTGACACTTTTGCCGTTCATTTAGGTATCGCCCGTTCTGTACGGCCACATAGAAAGCGCCACGAGGGCTCATTAAAAAGACATACTTCAAGGTCGATCATTCGAATAGCTGCAGTTATTTAAAATGTCTTTTTGATTATTTTATCGCGAGTATATTTTTAATCGACTTGAGACCGATTTTAATTGGTGCACGGAATTTTTCTGCTCTAAAATTAGCCTCCATTGAAGCTTGTGGAAATATTGAGATTTTTCTAGACATGTTTTATAAACGAAAATAAGTCCGGCAGAAAGGATTTTAAATAAATTATTGTATTTATTCTCTTTTAGTAACATTGAATTTACAAGACTTTTATTTTTCACGTTACGCTCTTCTGTCGGATCTCAGGATAAGTTTAGCAAGAAACTTTTCCTTCGTAATTTCTGAGTGATGGATTCACTATTACAGGCTAATAAAATCGCGAATGGTCTCACGTGTCTGTAAACGAAGGTTTCTTCGACTGCGAGTAAATCTAATCGCAATGCCACGAAAAAAGATAAATGGCCAGGCCGTAAAGTATTAAGTACACAACAAACTTTAAAATTAGCCGGTTGGATACGAGATTCAGTTAACATAAAAACAGAGATTCTTCCCGGTGAGAATCAATTGATCGACTTCGATGTTGAATTCGATGGGTACCTTTGAGTGTCGATTCGCTTCGTTCGACACCGTTTAATTCCCGCGAGCATGCAGAATCGACTTCAAAGGAATGCCACGCGATCCATTCGCCTCGCGCAGGGAACGAATCATCGATTCGAGACGCTTTGAAACTAATCCGGAAGTATTGCTTTCGCGGAACGTAACGAACGGGCGATCATAGGTGTCTTTAAGTGTATGGAGCTCTAATTACCACTAGCAACTATCTATACGGACTCGTCCGTTACCATCGACTGCTCACCTCCGTAGGTGGTAATCATGCTCATGAATCCTAAACAGAGGATACTCGCCAAGTTATATTAAGTTATATTGAGCTATAAATTGCTAGCTTGCTCGTCTTTAATTACTATTACATATCAATGTACGTACAAAAAGTATGTTTTACCAATCATGTATTAACATATTTCCCTATAACTATATAGGTGGAGATATATTTATTCATTGATCCATGAAACTGCAATTTCTCATTTTTACAAAACACATAAAAAAAAATTATTATCTATTGCATATCAATGTACATATAAAAGGAATTACTAATCATGTATTGACATATTTCTTTCTACGTATGTAGTAGGAGATACGTTTATTCATTGATCCATGAAACTGCAATTTATTATCTTAATAATCCAAACAATCGATCTCTCTTATGATCATTGAAATTGCATTTGCTTGTTTGGTTCTTTGTTCGGTCTTCGGGACCGGTATTGAGGAGCTTGAACATGATCGTGTAAACATTGATTCACGCTAGGCGTCACGTTGATTTACCTGCGTGTTGCACGTGTGGTATCGCTTGTATGTGCCGATGCAAATAGGCCGGGAATTGCTCGTGCCTTTCTCCGAGATAATGTTTCGCTTCCTCAACAGCCGCCTGAAACAAATCGATCACCGTTACTCACTTGCACGCGCCTACCTATCAAACTGAAAATTTCTCTATCCGATCAAATCGCCGGGAATACTTGCGACTGCTGCTGCAGACTGTTATCGTGATCGTAATGTATAAAAAGAACGGATTTGAATCCTACGTGCTATAGAGGGCCGTTTCGACTCGTAAAGATACAGGCAGCTCGTCAAATCGAATTGTCGAACACTTAAATTCTTTTATTACTCGCGGGACAGAAAAATCTTAATGGCACAACGGGTCTTAAACTATTTTATCGTTGGCCGAGATACACACAGGTTCCAGATTCACCGTTAAATATTACGCGCGACGTCGCATGTTAATCGCAACAGGTAGCGTTGCAAAGGTGTAAATGTCAGCAGTGATAACATGTTTTAGGAGCGTCTCCTTCGATGGGCTAGCTATTAGATGGGCCTGTAATCTTGTCTTTGGTACAATGTCTCGTAATGTTTGTAATTAACATAATGTTATGTAACATTATCATATCATTAGGTGTAACATTATTACATTATTAATTATTATTATTAATGGTAAATAACGTAGCGTTTGCTTTATGGGTAATGTAAGATTATAGCCAGAGGCGTATTAAAAGTTACGGATCCAAACTTGGATCCATTCAAGGACAAGGGCAAAAAACCGAAGAATATTAGGAAAGCCACGTGGCTAACCAAATTTTACCTCGATTCTCTCAGAATTAAAAATTTATATTCGAATGACGTAAATCCATATTTTCCACTATTTTTTGACAAAACAACAGAAAATGTAAAAAAATCGAGAAACGGTAGAAAAGCCACAGCTCCTTAAATCCGTTCGTGAAATCGTGACAAACGGTTGCTCACGATCTTTGATCGCGCGAAACCTTAACGGTATCCCAACGCGGAATACTGTGATTATTATCGGATCGCTGATAATGATCCGTGACCTATCGGCTGGACGATTATGCCCGCTTAGGAGTTCACTTACTGATACGGTACGCATTCTCGGGACTGCGATTGAATCCCCGTGCCACAGGTCCTTGAACACTCGCTCCAGGTGCTCCACGGCCCCCAGGTTCCCCTTATACGGTTGTCTCGTCCGAGCGCGAACTGAGTCTTCTCCCTCAGCATGTGATACACCTGAGGAAGAAAATTTCAATACGTTTGTCTGGCGCTTCGTGATATCAGAGACGAGGGCTCGATGATTGGTAGGTGGAGCGTTGATTAACGGCAGACAAAGGTTTAACGCGAAGGTTCGTTACACACGAGGGAGTGATTACTCGTCATCCGTTATGGGGAAATTGGAGACATTACATAATGAGGCGCGGAACCGCGACGTAATTAATTTTATTAGAAGCTGGATCGGCTCGCTGGATTGATCGATCAAAGGGTGGCGAACGAAATTGCCTCAGCCGATGATAATCAAACGGCCGGCTGGCCGGCCTTGCGTTATAATCCGGCTGCTTTAATTACGATCGAATGAGAGAAGAAAGGGAAGGAGGCTCCACCGGCTGAATAGCGCCGGATACTAACTGTTTGTTCAATAATTAATATCGGTACTTCCGCGATTGAGATCGTAATTAGACCGCTCTCGCGTGGCCGTAATTAATTGAAGGACGGATCTGTGGCGCCGTTCCATCGATATTGATACTCAAACCTGCCTTTCCGTAAACGATCGAGATTGCGAGATTGCGAGACGTTAATAAGACTGATCAGGATAATCCGTGAGAATCGTTTAAAAATGACTTTTATAAGCGGGTTTGATATGAACAGTACGGATTTCAACGAATCGGTAATCCGTGTGTGATTATATAAGTTAATTACAGAAATTAAATATGAGTTAATTATATAAATCTCATATAGTGACCTAAAAGTACGGTTTTTGTAGCCAAAAGTCAAAATGTCATCTAAACTTTCTGAAAATTGTACTAGCAAAATGTGAAATAAAGATAAAACTTCGTAGGTAGTATATGAAAAATTTACTTGCTAGATTATACATATACATATGGTATTACTGTATCAGACAAATTTTTTAAAATACTAAATTTGGGAAATTGACTTTTTGACAAAAGGTCGATTTCCAGAGCACTGTGGAACGTGTAACACTCGAAGTACTCGTTGATGGCTGACATTAACTGCGGCATGTTAATCGCGGCGCGGCTGCACTCGGTCCGTAAGTGTGTGTACAACTTGGAAGAAGGAAACGCGAAAATATTTGAGGAAGGAGATATATGTAAGTGCATACATGGGAAGAGCTGGCTAACTCGCTCGCTCGGCATTCACCGCAGCGCGGAGGAGCGGTCTGAATAATGTAGCCGCGCGCTTCAAGATTCTTGCCACGATGAACGATTTTAATCTCATTCAGTCCCGGTAGCCGTTCAAAGGAATTGTTACGGGTGTAACGAATGTCGTTGCGGCGAGTAAAAAGCCTGACATTACACGCGGTCGTTTATGTTTGCGAAAAGGAAATTATACGGTACGTGACATCCTAGAAGAATTGATCAAGTGCCTCTGGATTACTCGATCGCCGATCCGTTCAGGTTTATAATCAATCAATGTCTTTATTTCAGCCAGTTACATAAGCCCAGAAGTGGCCCAGAAGATTTACAATCCTCCTTACGCCTTCACTCACCCATCTACAATTTAATCTAACCCTTATCACTCCAATCGACAGTCCTGCTGCCAGGATTTTAGAGTTTTATTACTATTTGATTTAGTTAAATGCAAGACAGCGTGTATTATACATCGTACATCTGAAAGGAGATAGACAGATGATGAACTTTACATTGGAGAATTATGAAGTGATTAGTGATTAGCATTAATGAAATTCACACCAAGAAACGAAAAACGGTACCTTTAAAACTAACATCTGTGGAAAGAATTAGGTAAAAATGTAAAATATGAATAAATTTCTTTTTCGTACTCCCACTTCGGTTTACTCAACATTTAAAAATATTCTTACAAATAAAGAACTACCTCATAAAACGTGTTTCCGTCTTTTTTCTCCATTTTGAAATTAAGAAAGAATTCTTGGAGTGATAAGTGCTAATATGCCTCCGTATCTTCGTAGCAACGTTGAATATTATACATAGGACATTATATATTTACTAAACTATGTATCATACTCTAACAGAACGCCATTAACAGTCTTGATTTATAATATTTTCGGAACTGTATAAAAATGTGAAACGCGAGTGTAAGTGGTCCCTGTTTACCGCTGTCAGATAGCTAGCTCGTTACTGAGGAGCGATTAAAATTGGCTGGACTCGGAGTCTCATTACGGTTAACGGAAACGATCGTTCAAAGTACGTAAGTTTAATCAACGATAAACGACGCGCTGCGTTTACGTATGCTGCTCGCACACCAAGTTCAACAGATTGCCACCAAATTATCGGTATTGCGTACGAGTTAACGAGACCGATTCTAAATTACAGACTTTATACAAAAGGCTCTGCGCGCACGTATCGGAGAACAATTAAGAGGTTTCTCTTAAATTTGCATTTGATCGTTTGCAGCCTTAAGAACACAATCTGCCCGAGTGTAATTTAGGAAACTCGTTCAGTGTCAATTAATTACCACCGTCTTACCACCCAGAATAACGTCTAGTTAACTGCTTATTAATTCTTGTATATGCATTATAAATTAATATGCACCGGCCGGCCGTGTATTCGAGATAAAATATCTTAATGGACGTGAGATATCTACGATAACGTTATTAAAACCCTAAGTTAAGCAAGAATCATCAATCGTAAAATTACACGAAACGTAGGATCAGGCGAACCACTTGCCTTCGTGAATTATCTCTTCCTCTGGAAAGAGTAATACGTACAGTGCTCTTCATGTGAACAGCCTCGGGTAAAAATTGATATAAATATGCATGTAAACTGTGTTAACTAAATGAATTTTCTTAAAAATTCTTGCTTACGAGTTAAATTAAATGGCATTATAAATTAGCAGCTGATATTAGTTTACATTGAGATAGACACTTGGAAAATATACTCTTGTTGGAAATAAGGCTTTTGGCTGAACATATGAATAGCCTCAAGTGTTTAGTCACAATTAGTCGATGTTTTTCAATAGAGAAGAAATGTTTGAAATAATTCTACTTTTCATCGTTTTAAATATGTTATTTTATTCATATTGCACGAAATTTCGTACGAAAAAGTAATATGCTATTCGAGGCTATCCAAATGAATTGTACATCTCCATAGTCTCAAGAAATAAGATGTAACTGATCAGGGAATGAGAGTGAGATGAATTTGCTTTTGAATATAGACTTCCAATAATTTCTTTATTTTTATTGATATTAGAAACGCGACGCATTTTTTCTATTTAAAACCTCTAACATTTGCTAACGTTAAATTGTTAATCTCCATAGTCTCAAGAAATAAGATGTAACTGATCAGGGAATGAGAGTGAGATGAATTTGCTTTTGGATATAGACTTCCAATAATTTCTTTATTTTTATTGATATTATAAACGCGACGCATTTTTTCTATTTAAAACCTCTAACATTTGCAAACGTTAAATTGTCTCCGGTCGTTGCTAGACCATTAATATTTCGACCAAACAAACAGCCAGACTCCGTAAGCGGGCAGTGAGTCACGATCGGAAAGTTACCTCGATGGGATACTTGTCGGGCACGTGGTTGCAGGAGACGCTGGCCGCGGTCAGCATTGTCAAAGCTAGAATCGATCTGAAACAGAGATTGGGAAGACGCCTTAATTAATACGACGTAACGGAATGCAATTTGTTATCGCCGTTGTCAATCTCCGACGGCCGGTTTTCACGACGAGACGTCGTCGTCCCGACGACCGTTGAACCGAGCCAATTATTCCCTTATCGCGGAAAATATCTATCTTTCGACTGGCTTCCACCGAGTTAGACGTTTCAAGAATGTGATAATCTCCCTCGGACGTGGACTTAGCGCTGCATACTGCGAGGACGACCGCAAAAGCGAGCGTTCCCGGCCGACTGAATAATACCGCCTCGTATGTAAACTGCGACTCGTTACGCCTGGTTAATGTATTCGCTCCTGTGGTAAACGATCTATTAGCCAGTTCGTGACAAAGATAAATGATACGAACGGATCGCATTCGAATTGAATACCGGACGACTCTCATCCTTCTTCCTTCCTTCCTCTCTTCCGAATAATCTGAGAAACCTGTTCAATGCCGTTCGTCGTCCGTAATTGCGGACTAATAACAGCCATCGATATCATTTTTCCGCCGACGCCTGGCGGGTGATCCATATTTAGAAACGCAGTCGAGAATCCATAGATTATCGAGACTTTCGTGGTATTAAAGTGTAAACAGAATTAAACGTCACCGAGTGGCGATGTAAATCTAGGAAAGATCGCAATCCTTCTTTAGGGGGTTTTTACTGCGGCGATTTCACGCGAACGGAACGTGTATAATAACTGAGAGCATATGTTCTCGATCGCGCTCCTCCACCGGATATAATCACTACCATAGATTTCCCGGGTTTATCGATTTTCATGCCGCGAATCGCGTGTACGTAGCTGGAAGCAGATAGCGTGCGACTCGAGCCAGGAGCCAGGCGCCAGTTCGTTCCGCCGCAGCGATTGTCGGAGCTGAAAACTGCACGTCGAAGTTGCATCTTTCACCGGACGGGGGAAGCTGGGGAAAGAAGGAGATACGCGTACGTAGAAAGGCAACGGAGCGAGTAAACTGTGCCACTAAGCACTAATAACGTATCACTTGTTGCGTTTTCTCGGAAAGCTTAATTAATCATTACTGGTTCTTGTCGACGGAGAGGAAGAAGCGGACGGAGGAAACCGAACGCGAGACCAGAGAGCGAGAGAGAGAGAGAGAGAGAGACGAGGGCCGGACCGCCCGCGGTTGCTCGAATAGCTCGCGTGCGCGTGATACGCACACACCGTGAGCAGTAGGCGCTCGTCGCCACGAAACGAAATCAGAAGAAGCTGCCTGCTCGGCTTCACTTTTCACGCAATGTTCTTGTTAACCGCGAATAAGACTGCGTACGCGCTCTGCCTGGCCACCGTGTAAAGTGTAATAAAATTAATGAGTCGTAGTTCAAGTACCATTCCAGAGGCAGACACGGTCGAAGAGAAATAGTTGCCGGATCGTATACACTTGCGGCTCCCTCGTCGATCATCGATCACGACCGTCATTCCTCGTGAACGAAATTTTTCGAACAAAACGAGAAGGGAACATTTTAGAATTCTACATTTATATTAACAAACTGAGAATATTCGAATCTAAAATTAAGTCTGGAAATCCGAGGGACATATTAAGTATTACATATTAAGTTGTAAACTGCGAACGTTGCATAAAAATGTACAAAATATAAAAAGCGAATGTATATTGCAATGCTGAGATGATAAAAGAAATTGCAACATGAAATGCGTTTTTAACTGATTGCCTTAAATTTTTTATTTTGTATAAAAATTTGCAGGCTACTGACGAATACATAGTATGCATGTATGTATGTATGTATGTATGTATGTATGTATGTATGTATGTATGTATGTATGTATGTATGTATGTATGTATGTATGTATGTATGTATGTATGTATGTATGTATGTATGTACCTTCACTGCTCCATTCGCGAAGCTTTATTGCCTCCCTATTACGACGATCAATTACCTCATAAGAGGACATATATCGTACTCTGTCCATTAGACACGATTATTGTGAATTACAGCGGTGTAAGTTTGTTGAACGGCGCGGCCAGACTGTGTGTCTCGGTATGCGGAACGAACATTCCAAGAAAAGGAACAATGCACTCGCTCCACAAGCGAAGCGTCTATGTTTCTCGTTAATTTTACCGTGAACTCCAGTGAAAATTGCTGAAGCGCCGTAAAACGTTCTCCAACCCTTCCGCTAAACCCTTAAACCTTAAAGGAACGACTCAGCGTATCATAGAAATTTTCGCTAAGGGAGCTCTTCTTCGCGTTTTATGAAGACGGCGATTGTGCCCGAACGCGATAGGCGGTGAACAAATAAAATGACAAAAAGGGCGATTCGCAGAAGTCATTGAAGCTCTTTGATTCGAGTTGTCGTCTGTTACGTGCTTGCCTATAGAGCGAGAATTCTAAGCTTGCAACTAGCGCACCACAACACGCGTGCACTTCTTACCAATTGGTTTTTACCAGTTCTAGACCATTGAACACAAGACCGACATTGTTTATCGTGGCATAAGATATGCCGATCGGCATCCCCGCGATAGTAAAGTCGCAACAGGGCGAAGATCTCTGGCTATGAGGTTTTTGATGTCTTTGATAAAAAACAACTTATTTTTTATTTTTTTTATATAAGGGCGGATGTTCTTTTGTGACAGTGAACTGTACACAGTTCAACAAGTGCTGTAACAA